CATTCTTTTAACTGTCCTACACTGGCAAGTTAAAAGAGCTGAATCTTTTTTATCTTGAATAGAGAAGACTAAGAAGGGATTTGATTCAAAGACTCAAAAGCCTCAAAGATATTGACAAAGTCAACCCAGTGGATTCCATTAGAATCAACCCTGAAACCGGAGTAAAGAGATGGATAGTAAGGGGTGGAATATATAATTGTTACATAAGTGGTAGTGAAAGTCTGGAACAAGCTATCTTGTTGTCAAAGCTGATACTACGGCTGACTTCAGTGAATGGGTGGATGAGATGTTACGATCAATTAGAAACCAAAAGAAATGCATGACATGAATGGCCTCCTTCTATTTATTTTATGTCATGCCCTGATTACTTATGAGAGCTACTGTATCTATAGCCTTGTAACTGATTGTAAGTGTACATTTAACTCAACAGGACAGTGCATGTAATTATGATTTAGTCTCTTTTTGGGAAATCATACACTAGTAAGTAAGTTAACATTTCAGATGCATCTATGGACAGACATGCAAAACAAGTCAGAATTCTCTTTTGTGTTCAAAGAGACAGAATTGTGTTCTTGACAGAATTTAAAAGCTATTCACGAGGGCTTATTGTGAAACATTTTCCAGAGGAGTTCCATAAATTTCCATTAAAAACTGAAGATTAGGAAGAAGGAATATCGAAGGATTTTGAAGAATTTCCCACATTTTTTTTTATCATATTAGAAAAGTCCTTTTTTTAAATAAATGACTGATCTGAAAACTAGTGAATTAGTTTGTTTTTCTTGGCAAGCACTAAACATTTCTAGCTTGCAAACTCTTCAAATTGCATTTACTTGGGCTACTTACTAATTATCCTTAGATGAACACAAGGTGAAAAGGGGCAGACAGATAGACAGCTTCTTTTATGTCGAGGCACTTATAACAGTGGAATCCTGTGTTAAACCATCTAAAACGACTGAATTCGAGAGGTCATTATCATGTAAACAGTGAGACTGAGAAGACACATAGCAACGACCCATCAACCCTAATGAAAAGTGATTGTGCATATTCCCAACTCAGATAAGAAGACCGAGATTGCCTTTTTTTCCATCAAAATGCAGGGCCTGTCAGTGAAACAAATGTGCATTCGTTGTTGCAATTAATTTAATTCTTGTTCTGTGTAAGTCCTGCTTGTAGGATTTAATTAAGGCTTTCATGCACTTCGGCACATTCAGTTAAATGCTTGTGTTTAATGGCTCTGTCTTTCAGCACAGAAACCACACTGAAATAATGAAGTTTACGACTTGTACACAGGGAAACCAGCTTAAAACAGAAAGCTGTGATTTATGTCCATTCATAATTTTTTCTCTATCATCCTTATGTGTTTTTTTTTACTTTTCTCTGTTCAAACTAAACAGAGAAACCTACAAAAGATTTTTAGAGGATTTTTGTCTGGAGTACGACACAGAGTTTAATGCTTTAGGACTGTAATTGCAATGATAATTGTAATTATAATGGATTGTAACACATTGCAATTGTTACAGCAATTGATATTAAAATTCTAACTGAATATAATTACAATCTAAATAACAATTACATTAAATTGATAGTAACCGACTGCAGTTGTCATTGACTGTAATCAGTTTTAATTGTGACAGTAATTAAGAATTAGCAGTGAAAGATGAAACAGAAGACAAAGTACACAGAAGTGCATTTAAAAATGAGACCAGTAGGCACTTCTTTGGGTTGTAGAAGTCTGGAACAATGTTGTTGAAGGCAATATCCTTCTAATGTCACAAATATATAATGTCTTCTTCCAATAAACAGCCAGATGAGATCAACGAGGTAATTTAACTAACAGCAGCCAAGAGCCTAGATGGGCTGAACAGCACTGACTGATCTGCAACAGTTTTTATGTCCTTAGAGAAACTGCAGAAAGGCAGACTTAACCTCAAGAATAAGTGATGTACAAGTCAAATAATTTGCTCTTAATATTTCAGCAAAGAATAAGTATAAAACACAACACTACTCTCTTGTAATCGAAAGAAACTAGGCTTCGCCTGCACAGAAATCACCTGCCCCCACACGCAGTGATCTCGTGCGGATCAAAGACACTCGGTTCAATATTTCATTAAACCCAGCTGAAACATAACAGCTCAATTTGTGAAAATGAATACTGATGTAAAGCAAACTTACAGTGCTGGATGGGTAAGTACTGAGCTGCATAATCTTTAGCAATTTAGCACATTGTAAATTAAATGATGGTCCTTTCTATCTTTGACTTAAACAACTCAAAAAAGTGTCAGCAGAGCAAGTGTTTATGGGACACAGCATGGACAGCATACTAAGCGCTCAATTTTTCAGGTAAACCAAATATTTTCCATGTTTTTTCAAATAGAAAAATAACCAAATTTTTAAATAAAGTTAGACAGGAATACCTAAAATACCATTAGGTGTTGTAAACATTTTATCATATTACGCCAAAGGGAAGTCATTGACTGTTTTTTTCTAAAAAGAAAATCTTGTTAAGGTGTCACTTTTTTTAAATTCTTATCTTTTTCATGTCTTAAGCAGAAAGCTACAGCACCTACAAAGATAAGGGCCATGAACTCGAAATGTCAGTGTAAATTTGCTAAAATACGCCAGTTCTGCTGCACCTGAGATTAGCAATCCAGATGTCACAAAACATGGACCTTTTCTGATATGTCATTAGCTGCTGCTGCTACTAAAACTCATTAGAGCACTGTGGTAATCTTAAAACTGTTCACTGAGATTTTCATTAATATAAAACAAAGAAACATTGGCATACGTCAGATTACGCAATGCATTAATATCTTGAAGCAAAAAGGCATGCTCTTAGCCAGCTCAGTAAAGAAAGCTACAGTGAAATACTAAAATGAAAGGGTTCCATTTGCAACAGTATGTGCCAAATCGTAAATTAACTTCATTCCCATGCTCCAACAAAATACATACAGTATTTTATTTTTATTAAATAAAATGAACTGCCAAATAAACTTTATTGTCTTCCCTTGGCTATCAAAAACCTAGTCTAACCATTTATTCCATATGTAGCAAAAGAAAATGTAGTAGGAAATGAAAATCAAATTTATATGGAGATTTTTACAAAGCTACCCAAATACTGAATTAACAGCAGGGTACAAAGTGTGATACTTAAATCATGAAGCTTTTTGAGGACCAACATTTCTGGTCATATTTGAACTGTCAGCTAGATATTTTTCTAATAGAAATATATGTCAAAAACAGATTAATTTAACAAAGACTGTTTTAGAAATGTGATTTTTAATAGAGGAGAACGCTTTAAAATATTGTTTTAGATGTCAAGAATAACATACTATGATCAGTATAATAATCAGTTTGATAAATATTATTTTTTAGCAGCTTTCCCTCCTGGTTTCTCTTTGGTTAAAGGGCTGTGCCCAGATTCTACATAAATGAAAATGTGGGGTTTGCTTAAACCTTCAGTGAAAAGAAAGATATTAATGTCATCATACACTAGACACTAAACTGTAACTACAATGTAGCGGCAAAGGCACTTTAAATGAAGTTGAAATAATCACACTACAGTAAAAAAATAAGAACATACAGTATGTATGATCATCATGCCCTGTCTTCTTTAAAAAATAATGATGCATGTTCAATTCTCTTGAAAATATTCCCTTCAATAACAACACTTCTGAAGAGAGAGGTTTATAAGACAAACATGGTCATATAATGATCATTCTCACTACAGCAGCAGTAAGCTAATACACCCATGTTTTACCTGCACGTAACTCCTACCACAGAAATGATGAACATGTGAAGACAGCATAGAATATGTGCACAGATAGCCTCTTCTATATATTTCATAAATGCACGGTTCCGACTATTATTAATTTACACGGTCCAAACCATCTTGGAGCACAATCTATTGGAAGCAAGTATCACGCAGTCGAGTGCTACAGCTGACGACAGATTATGATTAGTGCCGCGGAACGCGCACTTAACTTCGGAGATTAACATGCCATCTTCGTGATCATGCTAAAACGGACGGTCAAAAAAGACAGAAAAAAATTGCCAAATAAAGGTTTGCAGGACAAAAACAAAAAACAGAAACAATGAGAGATGGGGAGGAAGGTGGTTTTAGGCAAAGTTACAGCATTTTTTTTCTGTCATGCCAGTTTTTTCTTTAATGCTGGAATAGATGAGGAAGGGATTTCTAGCCATTCTTGTGGATCAATGCAAAGAAGTTTTAGAAAGCAGTTTTCCTCATGGTAATAAATATATTTCAAAAGAAAAAAAACTGCTTCTTGCTTCTGTGTAGATTTCTCAAACCCAAAATATGGAATTTCTCAAAGCCTCTTAGATATTAGTACAGATGAAGGTCCCCTTTCAAACTAAAACTTTCATAAAGGCTGAACGTACCCAATGATCTATAGAAAGCAACACAACAAAGGCAGAAGTCAGTCACTTACTGTATGATAATGGATATTTGTGACATTAGAGGGGCATTTAAAATATTGTTTTTTTTTCTCCAAATTATTTTTCTTTAAAATATCAAAATATTTCAGTTAATGTTTTGGAAATCTTTAATTTTTGTAATTCATTACAATCAAGTCTATAATAAATTTGATCAAGAAAGTAACTAAGTTGTACAGAATTTACATGTTGTAACAGGGGCATACGGATTTATCTATTAAATTTATTATTTCTTAAAATTACTATATAATTACATTGCAAACTATGCAGTCATGCTTACGATTAGCTGTAAATGGAGTTATACAGCATTTGTCACTGAAGCCATATTTATACAATCCTAGGTTTGAAATGTGTCCAGACTAGGATATAAGCAGGACAGATGAAGTTCATTCTTAAGAAGAAGAATTTTATAGGTTTTCATTCCATACTTAGGTTGGAACACAAACATTTTCAGTTTGAAAGGGGAAAGCTAGATCTTAAGAAGTAATTTACTCATGCATAGAAAAGTGTGGCAGAAAGCACTGATGTTGCACAAAGTGGTTACTTACAGGTAATAAGTGTAGGAGTGATAGCTTCTTCTGCCAAGTGGGGTGGTGGTAGGTTTTAAGCAGTGGTGGGGAAAAATGGAATGGAAGGAAAGAAAAGTAAAATATTAATGTTTAAAAATATAAATGAACAAAACTAGATATGATGGCATAAGTGAAGGTTACTAGTGGTCGTGAGGGCAAGGTGACAGCTGGGTATATGTCATGCAAAATAGAATAAATGCAGAATTCTTTCTGAAAGGGAGTACTGCGAACATTAATTAAAAACAATATGCATACAGGATAATCTACTGCTAACGAAAGTCCAAAAAGACGGGTTCATATCAAAGAGGGTTTCGTATTGGACGTATTGGACTACATTTGTTAAAAAAAAAAGGAATTGGAAACTTTAAGGAAGGTTGATTAGAAGAGTCAGATGTTTTTTAAAGGGTGTTAGAAGAACTTGCGCTGACAGGGCAATTATTTAAGTGTAACAAATCAATGGAAAAACCAGATGAAGTAACCTTTTTTTTTCCCCAATCCAAGGAAGGGAATATCACTTCCTAACTGAAACTTTAAATTAACAGAAACGACTATTCATTAACATCTTGATGATTTAATTAAAATGTTAATAATTCTAATATTCAAACATATGAGTATTTCGGCAATCTCACATTTTCTTAGCCACTGAACTGCAAACACTTTCAATTAAAAGGTCGCCATGAAAAGCAAATGTAGAATTTCACTCATTTATTGAAAGCAAGGCATATGACAGGCAATTATTCACTTTATATACCATTGAAAAATATTTTTTCAACATTAAGTTGTTTTCATGTTTTTTAAACAAAACCTCATAGCTTGAACATCACTCTTTATTTCCTAACCATTGTTCTAATTCAGGAATGTCAAGTTACTGCAATGTTTGCACACCACCTCCTATAATCTAGTACAAACTTAGAAAAACTCTCATAATATGTTATTGCAGGCTTTACTGCGCACACAGAAGTTTCTTATTTGCACAGCAGTCACTCCTAGGGCTGCAGCACAGAATATAGAAATGCTTGCCTGGCATGGGACTTCAGTTAATGTAAACTTGCCTCTAGCTACATGCTGAAGGCATCTCTTTGAAAAATGTGCTTTCATCAATTTTTCTTTCTTATCTGCTTTTTTTCCTTAGATAAGCCTCAGAAATATTTCCCTATTCCCACTCCCAGGTCATTAAAACAGTGGCATTTGTTTGAGCATTGCAAAGACAGTAATTAATATTTCATTGTATATTGTACATCAGCATTATAAACAGTTTAATGGGTTTTATCAATGCAATCAAATCAATTATTAAACAATTTGAAAATGCAGCAGTTAGAAGGTGAAGAGGCAAGCACTGTGGATTACTTTTGGCCCTCAAGATTAATGGCCATAATACATCCTGTTTTTCTGAACAATCTGCCACAAACCCAATATTTGTGTCTTACCATTTAACATATAAATTGCTCTTAATGTGCACACACAAGCATAAGCACAAACTGTGTATATGAAGCAGTGCACACAAGGTTCCAAAGACATCATGTAAGATTCTTCTAATTTAAATAATCCAGTTATCCTTTTAATTAAGGTTCTAGTTACTTTTTAAAAGCATTCCAACTTGTAACACTAACAAAATTCAAGATGTAACTTCCAAATTACAAAGACAGTTACAAAGACATTAAATACAGTACCACATGTAAGAACATGTGCAACATTTCGAAGCACAGGACATCTGAATGTATTTTTTTAACAAGTCAGGGATGTCTCTTACCTCTTCTTCATCACAAGCACGACTCCCAGGAAGATGATGACGAAGAGGAGGATGCCAGCGATGACGCCAGCGATCTTCACAGTGTGATCGGTCTGCTTCTCAGGCTCCACAGCATCAGGCTTTCGAGTGGCAGCACCTGCAACCATGTCAGTTTGCAAAGAGAAACAACTGTATTACAGCAGGCTCACGGGAGGGAAATGCTAACATGCAATTGTAGCACACAACTCCTGGTGACCTCAGCCACAAAAATGCAAGGGTTGGGCACTTTCCTAACGAGGAGAGAAAAATCATGCTAGAGAACTGTGGAGGACAGAATTAAACTGCTCTCTAACAGCAGCACAACAACAACAACAACAACAACAACAACAACAACAACAACAACAACAACAACAACAACAACAACAACAACAACAACTGATTTTATTCCCCTCATATCCCATCTTCTTCCAACAGAAGTTATCTCACCTTTAGCTCTTATACCAATTACCACCAATACAACTGTGGAGCTGAAACCACAACAAGCGTTTCGTTACTTTACATCAAGCCTTCATTTATGGCCTGTTCGCAATTACTGTGAACTAGGGATACTCGGTATGTAGCCCTGTTCCACAGAAGAACTTTTCACCATTCATCTCCCCAGGTACTTAGCTAATCATGATGGAGTTAAATTAATCAAGAAGCCAACTAAAACAAAGCCCAGCATGAAATTAAATGCAAGTGCAGAATATTAAGTAGCTGTGGTGTACTTATGTTATACAAGCTGATAAACAGGCACATTGGGATGAATACAAAAGGCAGAATAGCAGAGTGAGTGGTTTTTATTTTTTTAAGCACATAAACCTTCAACAGAGCCAATGCAGAATACTGGAGGAGGAAAAAACGTCAACAACTTTAAAACATTTAGCCTGGTTGAGCATTTTCTTCACCAAATCAAAAAATAAATAAAAATTACACACAACCTCATTTTTTCCATTCAAAAATATTTTCTAGGACTTAAGGTTAAAAGGAATTTTTTACAACTTGAAAAGAAATACCAATGGCTATAGTCAATATCCAGGAGGCAAAACAAAACCTTTCCTTCATAGCCTACACTTGGGTGGGCTGATATCCATACTTTATGTAACTTTCTCATGCAGAACTAACAAGTCAACTATGAAAACTCGGAGTGTCAAACAATCTAAAAATATATTGCAGTGAAAAGTTAAGAATTTAGGCACTATGGACTTCGATCCTTTTATGACTAAATTCAGATTTAAACACTTAAACATGTTTATTGATCGAAGACTGTTTCGCTGAACATTCCCACCTCGTTATATTCCATTTTCACACTGGCACCTAACCATGCAACGCGTCTCTCAAGCCCTTGTTTTGCTGTAACCTTTCTCCTCAATAATTTATTTTTCATAAATGAAGCAGTCATCTCTCACCGTATTAGCTCTAGTACCTGAGAAAGTGAGATAAGCTCATTGGCCATGCATTTCAACACCAATTGTTTTTTTGAACACAATAAGCACTTCTTCTTGCCTTTGGATATCCAAATGTGGGTCACATCTGGTGAGCAAAAAGACTCCTTCTAAGCAATTTATTCACGAAGCAGGCAGCAGCTGATGATCACACCACTGGCATACACATTTAATATCTGTTTAAATGAGATAACCAACACCTAGCAGCTACTGTACCACTGTTTTAGCACTTCCGGGCCTCCCTGTTTTAAGAACACTGTTTGGACTGTTTACTGCATAATGTGATGGAACGTCAGACAGGTGCCTGATGAAATATCCATTTCCTCTTGCTAAATGAGTTCAGGATGAAAAATGTCAGAACACACTGTTCAATTCACTAAACTGAATCTATTTTTCTGCCACCACCACTTTTTCAATCAAAATGTGACAACATCCATCATGCGAAGCGCCCCGCTATCGTTTGAGCCTTGATAGATGGTGTTGGAAGCCTGGTCTCATTTCTAAAAAAAATACTATTTTACTTTCACTGACACACATACTACAGGCTGCAATTCTGCAAAATTATTGTAATAGGAAGTCAATTCACAACTACGTATTGTACACACATAAACAACCCCACGCATCAGTAACAGCCTGCCATCTACACAGAGGATGGAACAGATTTGTAGATTGAACTTAACATTTTGATTGAGTCTCACTCACTCCAAATGTTGTTCTAAACATATCATCTACACACTGTATTTAGATGACTCCGCAGAACAGGTATCTATGAGGTATCAACTCACTCTGTTGCACTTTGTGCTAACCAAATTGTAATTGACTGCTGTACAGTTCAAGAAAATAAACTTGAATTAAAACACTGAAACTCAGAAACAAAAAATGCACGTGTTACCTTTTAATAATTAAACAGAAAGCATATGGTATATTTGACAACCACAAATACAGCAAATATCTTAGCAAATTAGATTATAATTTACTACTTTATAAACTGAAATTGAGTTCTTCCCAGAGTATCCACAGAACAATACATGTGACTTCTGAATATTGCCACAACTGGATTACTACAGCCAAATCATTCTATACACTTGGGGAAAAAAAGCACTTCAAGATAAAATATGTTGAAGACTACAAAACTGATGAAAGTTTCCAGTGTCTTATAAGGACATCCGCTTTTGCTGCTTCACTAAAGTGAAGGAAACTGGTGTGAAAATATCCTTATAACAGCTACTGTAAATATTTTTATTTAAAAAAATTAAAAAGCCTATTTCACCAAAACCCAGAAACTACAAGGACTGACAGGAGGTGCTGTACCATCTAAGTGGTATCAAATCATGTTTGTATTCCTCTCTTTATGGGGACTAAATGAAATCCAGTTTTAGACACTGGATCCAATTCCGCCACTCCGCCATAACATCGTTATGTTTAATTACAATAAACAATGTCAGAAATGCTAAGGGGATTTGGCATTTTCACATCATCAGCTAATCATTTCAGGAGATTTGACACTGGCTTAATCTGGCCCATCATCCATTAGGGTGTAAATTTTCTAATAATGTAGGGAAAATGCTGCTTTATCTTCCAATGTTGTCATTCTGAGTTCAATTTACAGTGCTTCTGCAGTTTTTTAGCAAGATTTGTTAACCATTTAAGCAAGAAGCAAGTTGAGAAAACTGGTGAATATTTTAATGTAACAGTCTGCCCAAGAGAAACAGTCCACCCAATTCTTCTCATCTACTAATCAATTCTGTAGCTTATGAGTCCAACATGAAACATGAAAGATCAAACCAGTCCACCATTCTCATAGCTGCCTAGAGTAACCTCAAAGAGCAGAGTCACATGTCTCTACAGTAGCTTGGGCTGATCCTTATTTATGATTCGTTTTATACAGGTGTGTCATGGACGCTGAAAGCAATCAGCATGACCAGGTGCAGTGGACAAACACAATGGCACTCAATGCATCGTGAACGTGTACGGGGACAATGCATGAAAACTGCATGAGCTGAAAAATTCCATGCTGGCAAAAGAAAGAGCTCACAAAGACGGCAACAGACCAGGGGAGCTGGCAGGTGTGGTTATAAAAAAAAGCAACAAGGGTCTGGAAGATCACTGCCTTACATTACATAGCTAGCTGCCAAGGGAGCTGGGCTGTGGGATCACAGTGAACATCTCCCAGCCCCTCAACCGACCTATAGTGTGCCCAAGTGAAAAAGCCAGCAATTTATTTTCTGATTATAGCCTAATATCAGTCTATAAAGGATTTCTTTCAAACTCTGAAAAGAAAGTAACAAAGGCAGTGGCTTTCATTTTTCACACCTGCAACACAGGTCTTGCAAGATCTTTATGACGCTGCCAATGTATCCGAGAAAAAAAAAAGACATTTGTGTCAGAAATTCATAAAAACAAAAAAAACCTCCCAAACCCATGAAATTCCTCATCCTTTTTTTTTGGTCTTTCTACTGTATTATAGATGGTGCTGCCAATGTTAAAGTGACAAATATATCACATAAAGCAAACAAAAACAGGTCATAAATCACACTTGACACAACAGGTCATTAAAATGCATTCAGTTGGTGTGGGAGAGGCCAGACACCTCTCTCTTACTTTACATGAAATCACAGACAGATGGAGATGAATTAAGCCATCTTTCTAAATCTATAACTGGTAAAAAATAGTAAACACTTAGGAATTCTGAACGTGTTCATCACCTACTGTACATGTACAGTTAGCATTTTTTTATTTTGCTGATACTGATTTCATACTTCACATCCAACATTTATTGCAGTGATCTCCATTTGTAAACTACGGTATATACAGAAGAAAAGGAGTTTTTCCTTAATTTCATTTTTCATTTCTCTTAATTTCATTGTTATTCTCTTGCATAAATGCATAAATCAACATATTTACTATGACTACCTTGTAATATGTAATAAACAAAATTGAGAAAAAATGTAGTTTTTACCAGAATGCACAGTGGCATACAGTAATTATCTTTTGAAGACATTTTTATGTGAACAGAGTAACAATCTTTCCTGGTGTAAAATATTTTTAGATTCAACAAGCCATTTGACATTGCAAAATGAATCAGTCTCAAAGTTTAAAAAAGATGACCTTGTTGAATCTTCTCTATGGCGATACAGAAGTATTATGTCTCTTTAATTCCACCTAAACCTCAACATAAAACAGACTATTAGGTTTTAATGCTTAATAAGAAAACACTTTAATGGAGCAGGTTTTCCCATAAAAACTACACAATAACCTGTTGGAAAAATACACAGTAACCATTGCTATCCAAATTGCTTTTCTTTCCCAAAGACTAATAAGTTGAAGTTCAGTAATCTGCTGTGTATCATATAAGCTATGGTGCCTCACAGAAGAAAAGTCTAGTGATCACTTTAAGAAAAATAAATCCTTACACTTATATAGCGCTTTTCAGGACACCCCACTCAAACACTTTACAGGCAATAGGGACCCTCCACCACCAATGTGAAGCCCCACCTGGATGATGTGATGTGATCCAAAGAGCACCAGTATGCTCACCACAGATCAGCTCTCAGTGGGGAGGAGATCAGAGCGAAGAAGCCAGTTCATAGATGGGGATTATTAGGAGGCCATGATTGATAAAAGTCAGGGTGAAATTTTGCCAGGACATCGGGGTTTGGGGTATTATGTCTCATCTGGGGTATACTATCCCCATCACTATACTGGGGCATTAGGACCCACAGTGCCCACCATACTGTATGAGCACCCTCCATTGGTCCCACTAACAATTCTTCCAGGAGCAACCTTAGTTTTCCCAGGAGGTCTCCCTTGTATGGTCACACCTGCTGGGTGATATAGCTGCTACAGTATAATCATTCTTGTTAAACTGCCAGAGATAATGTCAAAGCACAGAGTGGATATACAGTTTCCTGTTATCAGCTGGGGTTGAACAGCCTAAGTACTGCATGTGTCCAGTAAGTACACGAGGATTCTCTCTCTGATAGAAAACGAATTGTGGAATTTGTGCAGACTTATAAAAGTTAATACTACTGAAGTTCATATAAAAAACTTAATAAAACACCCAGGAAACTGTAATTCTTAGGTTTCTTCAGACCATCATACTATTTAGAACAAGGCTTTCACAAATTCAAGCTCCAGGATTGTACAGAAGACTTGAATCTTAAACCAAGAGGTTAGGTTGGCTAGCTTATTGTTAACCCTTTGATAAACAGACCAGCTAAAACTTTAGCCCTCTTGTATAATGTGCCTCTCAGAGGGTTTGGATTGTGTTTGTATAGGGGAAGAATTACATCCCCTTTAAATATATCTAAGAGATGGTTTGCAACTCACAGCATAACTAGTGGACTTAAACTATTATTTGTATGATTGTTACTGGATGTCTTTAAAATGTAATGAAATTATACAACTTTATTGCAGCATTTTATAAAAGAATGCATATTTACATTGGAATTTACGGTACTCTAGAATAATATTTAACAGTTTTATCATCTTACATTACAGTTAACAGATTGTGAAAGCTGGCAGAGGTTTTACCTTTCATTTCCAGAAAAATAAATATTTAAATGTAATTTTCAGGCAGAAGGCTGAGAACAATGTCTATGTCACATGTGCCTAAGTGTAAAGGTTTATAGTTTCACGGTGTTTTAAAAAAAGACACTTAGTTTCCCTTTTGCAATAACTTGGATAAAAAGCTTAAAAAAGGAGAACAAAGATAACATGCACAGCAAGATTAAGAAAATCGGTTTATCCCATACACAGGTTCTAAAAAACAATCCCCACATAACTATATCAGAAGGCTGTTTCTAAAAGATGACATTATTGATTTTTAAATAAGCAAAAAAAAAGAATCTTTGATTCTCCCCAAGCCCTTTAAAGGAGACGTGACAGAACAATGACAAACCTCCCAGTTAACAAGAAGGATGAGACAAGTCTCCCACACAAGGAACACAGAATGAAAACATGCAGTGGGTAAAACAAGCTACAACTACGGGTTCAGGCAACACAGGAGCTCCACGCGCACTGCTCGCGACGCCGAGGGCTGGAGAGCGCGCCCAGAGACACAAGGGGGATGTGCAGGAACAGAAAGGAAGGGCGTGATGGCAGGTGGGAACATGAATGTCTGACCTGTTAGTTGGTTGTCGCCAGCAGCTGGGGCGATGCGAATGTATGGTGTTGTAAGCTGAGTCACGATTATCGCAGCTAAGGCAAAGGAAGATTTCCAGGTCAGCATGCATGAAGAAAAAAAAAGCCACACTGAAGCTAAAGGCTGAGCACAGAAGAGATTCTTAGTCACAAAGCAAAAAAAGAGACTTTCTTCTTTTCCAATTTAAAGCGGAGCAGGAAATTCGTCGGAGCACAAAAAACTTTAATACCCGAATATCTTTACAATAGTTTACTCAATAAATCTTTGTAAGGGCACTATCACTCCTAAATTTCTACAGGTACTATTTGCATTAGAAAATGTCATCAGCTAACAGTGGGTTCTGTGTTGACATTATAAATGCTTCATATGAGGCCGATTTATTTTCCCAATATTGCTTTTACACATAGCAATTTCATCAATTTCAGAACAAATTCGATTCCTTTAACAAAGCTCGATCGGTTGGCATACTGGCATATGCTGTAGTCTGGAATTCCAGTTAACACAAACACATGCCATTAAAATACATGGGCTTGGCTCAAATTAGTCTGCAAAATATTGTTTTGTACAATATGATAGACACAATTTGCAGTCATTCACAAAAAGGAAAAGCAAGAAAGAAGTTGAAACATCAGATGCAAAACAATTTGCAGGGCTGCAAATAAATAGTACGGACAAAAAACACGAGTTGAACATAATAACTAATTCACACAGAACAGCCTGGGCGCCATTAGAAAGATGGCATCTAGTAAGGAAAATAGATTATCTACCATCTGTGGACAATTAAATTCAAAACTGTGGCTGCAAAATATTTTAAAGACTTCCAGTTTAGTGCTAAATACAGGCTGTAACCGTTTCTCAGCCAGAGCAGAGCCCATGTTAAAGCACCTTTCTCACAACATCCTGTACCCCCAGAAGAACATCAAAGCCATTTCCATCAGCGAGGAAGGAAAGAGCAGAGGAAAGCAAGCTGTTGTTGTATTACGTTGTTTGGAATTTCGGCACCAGTGCAGTGTTAACAGTGTTAAGAGTTACGCTTCATCTGTTGAGGTGGAATCCAAAACAGGCAGAAAGCTAAAATGAAATGCAGTGAGGGGACAAGGGCAAACTTACCACCTCCCCATTTGCTACCTGAAACAATTTGACATTTGAACAAGTGGACTGAAATTTTCCAGAATATTGAAGAGCTGACTGTAAGTTAAAACCGAGTAAACAAGTACAGTAAAAAAAAAAACACTCAAAATAATTGTTACGTGTCCAACAATATAGAATACAACCAGAAAATGTTTGACGCTTTTATTTAAATCATGCACATTAAAGGCACATCCTGCTCTCTTTAGTAACTGGTGGAGTTGCAAACATTACCTTTAGTGGCCACTCTAACACAGTCGATTTTGGTTTCCTGTGTGAACAGATAAAGGAGAAAAAGTCATTGTTTCTGATGCAGTCAGAGAAAACAAACATTTTCTGCAGTTCTATTTAGAGACCCATCAATTTGATATGTGCCTGAGGATCAGCTGTGCACATGGTCCCACAGTAATAGAATGTCCCTCTCCCCAATCTGGAGAACACCCTGGCCATAAACAGCTGAAATGTAATAGACTTGGCATCTTGGGAAAACACTGTGGATAAATAGCTCAGGTGGCATTTACCTGCCAGATGACAGAAATCTATCTGGAATGCTGTGTGTGGCCTTGAATTTGGAGCACACTCACTGACCTTGAGTCCTGCTTCCTTTCCAAAACAGTGCAGGCTTTCAACACCATGTGAGGCATTTTTAAAAATTTGATGGCAAATTTGGATTTGGCATAGTCACCACACATTGAAAAGCAGGCTGTAATAGCTGTTGGCACAGACATATCTTAGCTGTCAGAGACAGCCAGCAAAATAAAAAAAAAATATCTCTTGATAGGACCGAGCAGGAAACTGAAAACAATGCACGGAAGTACCGACTAAAATCATATCTGCAATGTCCTTTTAGTTTTGCTTCAGTGTCGACTCCTGCTATTATGTTTCATTGCTGTCTGACAAAACAACGAGGCAGGAAATGAACATCTATTTAGCTCACATACAATTACAATTTGTTAATAAAACCTTCCCTGCAAATACAAACTTATGAAGGTGGCAGTGACTTGGGACTGAATTAAAACTCTGATGCTTTACTGAAGTGGTCTTTTAATGGTATAATGCTAAAGTTAACTGTAATATTAAATTATTTAACTTTAACAAAAAAACATGGTAGTTACTGTGGGTGTATAGTTCTACATATGAAACTCAAAATAAACCAGCTACTGTATACAAACATATAAATAAAGAATTGTCAGGGGTTGATTATTGAAAAATGTTTATATTTTACAATTATTTAACCATATTAAAACGAAGATCCTTTAAAAAAGAAAATGCTGCATTTTGCATAGTGAATAAACAATTCTCAAATTAAAGGTTAGACATTTTCCTTTAAATCCTAATATTAATGTACCTTTAATTTAAAATAGTGATATACAGTGAATTCAATATTCTGTGTATCTGAAAAAAAATCAGTCATGCATTGCTCTTTTGTACATTACTGTATTTGAATTTCAGCAATTTACCACTTTGTTCAATAAATTCACCAACTGGTATTTGCACATCTCTCCTAACAACATTGTATTTAAAACCTACTGTATATAAATCCCTAACAACATTTTAACATATAGATTAATTCCACAATTGTTCACAGATTACTTCCAGTCTTGGTTCACCAGCAATCAAACCATCCATACAATGAACAGCATGTAAGATTAAATAAAATAATGAAACTTGTTTCTGTGCAGGCACACTGGTTGAAAGGATTCTCCTCTTTAAAATATTACCTTTTGCTCCTTTGAACATCATGCCATGATACTACAATGTCAGGGGGTTCACAATGGTTTAGTTCATTAAGAAATAACCATTTCATGTTCACTTAGTTATTCAACTAGACCTTAAAGTGAGGTTCTCAAGCATGACACTTCAAAAGAAACATACTGGATCATCACAACCACATTATAATTATTGCTGGCCTGTTTAAGTCAACCACAGAAACACTTGAAACTTATAACTGTTTGATTACACTTCCTCAAACTCAGAATAGTATAGAGATTTATTTGGCCAGGCAAAAGCTCAGAAACTCTCTACTCAATTAGAAATATGAAATGTAGTTTTAATCTCAAATTAAACCAAAGAGAAAAATTTGGATTATTTAATCAAAAACACCCACATTAGACACATCACACTGTAGATCAGTGAGTAAGCTCATGGTTTAAACTGCAGCTTTAGAAAATCTGTAATGATCTGCAAAGCAGTAATATGTTAACACACTGACCTCAATACTCAAAATTGCAAAATTCTCTATTTTAAAAATGTATAAATCTCAATTTTTTTGTATGAAACTGACCTTATAAAGCAGATAGAGACTGTTAACAATCCATCATGCATCTTTGATTTTATCTTTGGTATAACTGGAATAATTATTTACTAAGTAAATAATTTACTAATTTAGTAAGATTCTAAGTACAGTATTGGAATATGTAAGAAAAAACAGAATTATCAGAACTACGATTGGATCTATTGTTTGTTTTATCCATGATTACCTTTCAATGTACCCTTTAAGACTACTATTGTTCTTTTCAGCAATGAGGGAGTCAGTCATGCTTTGGAAGTGCAATACTTGCATTGTTCCATTTTTTAATTTACTGAGTGGTTGATTGTTCAACATAGTTAAAGGAACAGCTCAGCATAGTACAAAGGAAACAATTAGTTTTTTCATATAGCTGCATAGACCTATATATCCTTATTTTTTATACAAAGTTATAAAGGTATACAAATTTGACACAGTACATTATACTTGTTAAATTCCTGCTTAGCTTTTTTTGCATTACTAAACACCACTTTTGCAATTCCGTTGTGATGCCGCAAAGGGCGTCATCCTTAAAGGCGGCACTTTCCCTGAAGCATCACAGAGTTTGAGAATACTTCTGCCTCCAATAAGATGGCTGTGAGAGAACACCAGCATGCAAGGTGGTGTCAACAGGCAACTGCTGAAACAGGAAACACTTGTAGGTGTCCTGTTCCAGCCAATACAAATCGACTATAGAGCTGGGAGCAGGAGCCCCTGAAGCTGGGGAAACGCTGCAGAGTTAGAGTGTGTTGCCACACTCAAAACGTTGTGTGTTGCTGTAGCTTTTACTCTATATTGTTTTGACTCTGAGAGGAAACGGACCATAGTAAGACCTGAGGATAAACGAAAAAGGAAATCAACCACTACAAGACCTGAGGCTGAAAAGAGGACATAACGACGAGAGGACTCTACACGAAAGAAAAGAGCTGAAAGAAGGAAGATTTAAAGGACATAAAGCAAAGCACGACTAAGGACTGGAGGAGCATGCTGAACACGGAACACAAACCTGACAAGGTTATATGGGGAAATTACCTTTTTTTTCCCCCTTTCAGACAAATTGCTTTTTGTTAAAGAGACATGCCGTGGACAGGATAGGTGCTCCTGGTATTTAGATAGGGAAATTTAAGTTTGTCCAGAGCTCATACTACGAGCTAGGCTTCCTTTGAGTTTGTTGTTTTATTTTTCCATCAGTTTTGCCAGAAATAATAAACACTGTTACACTACATGTCTGACTCGGGGTGAGTCCATGCGCCAAGCCCTGTCTATATCGGTGTATTTTGAGGCCCCCCGCGGCATCACATCGTGTTATTAGTTTACCCAGCCCAGGTCAATTGACAAGGCTCTTTAGAACCATTCAAGAATAACGTTTATTTTAAAATCCTGCAACCAGATCTGCAACTTTGAATTCCTTGGTTTTCAGCAATCCGATTAATAAACATTTTCAGACTACCTGGGGGAAAGGACATTGCTAGGGTTTTAATCCTCTGATTTGAGCCAATACTTTCGATCCCTAAGGAAAGCACTATAAATACACAGTTATAGAGGAAATAACATTTAATTTCAGACACTTTAGTTTATCATTTGTGCAATGTGCTGAAATGCTAAGAAAAGCTGGTGAAATGCTAATTCTTAAATGTGTATATTTTATTCCATTGCATTACCATTTATGTTTAATTGGTATATTCTACATGTAACATCAAAACAAAAATATATTTTCTATACCTATTGTAACATATATAGGTTATATACAGTATATACAGTACACACCATACTGTTACTTACCCCATTTGCTGTGCTGACAGCCTGATAGAAAATGCTATAGCTTTTGTGAGGAAGGAGTGGGACATTCCAATATCCATTATAGGTTTTATTATCACCAATACTGAATCTCTGGGGAGACTGAATGCCACCAGCAGGAAATTCAGCAGTGAAGTAGTACTGGGAATTTAAGAGAGAGGCATTCTGAAAGTGGATTGGCACAGGGTAACATCTCAAGATCTCGGCCGCCTTCTTAGCTCTTCGAGGACGCTCCTCTTCCACAACGACCTGATAAACACTAGATGAAGAAGAGAAGAAAATAAGGTCACTGGAAACATACGGTTCTTTGTGGTGTTCTGGTGGTTCTGAACTCAGCAGAGATCCCACAGAATATTGCTGATGAAAGGGATGAACAAAAGATCCAAGAAAAAAAAAACATCATGCCACGTCTCAGTGGGATCCTTGAAGAAACAGACTGTTGGAATTTGTGGATCATTAAAAGTTAAGATCATTGACAATGAAACAAGCAAGATGGGCTGACTAACCAACTCTTGTCTGTAACCTTTTTATTTTGATTAATAACCCATGGACATGTATGAATGCATTTAAACCTCTACATAAACAGGTGAAACTGAGGCTCTGGGTCAATGTGAGCACTGCAAATGAAGAAGAGGTCAATTCCACTATTTTGAAAAGCAAAAGTAAAGAAGAAAAACATTTTGGCTTTGGAGGCTTCTTAGGATTCAAATAAGTTAATTCATAAATAATCACAGCATGATATTAGATTTTCTATACTGGACAACTTGCGTATAAAGTGCTAAACAAAGCAGTCTAGAATATGTTGAGTTCACTGCTAGGAGTATTCAGGGTACAACACATCCTAACCTTTAATATTAAATAATCTACAAATAATAACTGAATCCAGCACAATAACCATAATAAGAAAGTTCTGGTGGTCTAAGAACAAGCATAACAGAATCTCAATTTATATCTGTGTGAAATGGGACGAATACAGAAATGTGATTTTATATTGGCAAAGGATCCATCTTAGGATCAGGACACAAACGGATTTAATTACTTTGGTAATGCTGACAGCCTTAGCTTGAATTGAGCTCTGGAAAAGGAGTATGATATTTAATTTACTGCAAGATGGCAGGATAGCAATACCTATCTATGTGGGAATTATCTGGTATAATATGAAGGCTTTTCTTATAAAATTCAGGCTTTGGAACCAATGCAGGATATTACTACATTGAACTCTGGCACAGCTGGACAATGGATGTAAATGTGAACAAAATCATAAAATAGGTTCGATTTCTTTAAAACTCCAGTGAAAAAGTCTGAGACATATAATACTTAATAGAATCACTTTCTGTTTTCACTGATAAATTAGCAAAAAAAAACAGCAAAAATTGGAACTTGCTTAAAACCATTTATATTCGGATAGAATTTCAACCACAGTAAGTACAAATCCAAAATCCAAAGCCTGTATTGACTCTGCAACGTAGAGGATATTGGATAGCTCAAGGAATGAAAAAACTGAACTGAAATTAAAGTCCAGCATTGACGACGGGGAGCTTTATTAACACGGCACAAGGCAGCATAATGGAACCATGTTGAGTAGAACACTATCAAACTAAAAATGGAATTTTTTTTCTTCTAGCAGCATAAGACAAATTAGCTTTGCAAGCATCCAGACTTCAGCTCTATTTGGTGTTTAATAATTCAAACACCTAAAGGTCAAACAGCTCTTTTCATTTCCTCTTTATCAAAGTCCTACCGTTCGTTCGAGAAAAGAAAAACTACTAATATGCAACTGCATTCTTATCATCTGTAATGCAATTTAACCTATTAACATATTTTGTGTAAACTGTAATGTGACAAAGTGATTCAATGGGTAGCAAAAAGCCCAATCTGGACATATGCCGATACTGTATATGCACCGCACAATTACCTCAAGTGTAGAAAGTTCTATACTTACATGAGCTTCCTGTGACTAACCACTTGCAAATCTAAGCTTGACCTGAACTAGTTATTGGTCTTTTCACATTAAACGACTACTGTATTTATAATCAGATGTAATTATTGGAAGAAATCTGTTAAAAACTGAAAATTTATATTCAACTACCCAAAGTAGATACAGTACATCAGGTAACACACACAACCAGCTGTACAACTTTCCTAGTAAAATCAATCTCAGTAGAGAATCTAGGGATTATGTCACTAATGAACAATGCATTTTGTTTTCCCATTCATCTCTATATGGTCTTCCCAGGCTGTTCCTTTGAATGGCACTGTACATACAGTATGCTGAATACACAGAAACACACAATTATATTTACAGGGACTTCTCATTGAATTTTCATTGATTCCAAACTCCACTCAGACAAAACTCCACAAAGGGTGAAACCTGAACAAAAACATACAGTATTTCAGTGGCATGTTCATATCAGGTCGTCATTGACATACAGTAGTTAGTGCTCTTTCACAAATTCTGTCCCCCTACTGATAGTAACACACACCTACACTTACACAGTCAGTCCAGAGACAGCATGCAATGCTGCAGATTTAGTCGGAAATATAATTTAACCCCCTAATACAAGTTAAGCATTTAGGGAAAAAAGGAATTGTAATCAAACCACGCCAGCTGAGGCGTCACAATTAATCCCACTATACAATGAAAGATTTAATTATAATCCATATTTTCTTTCAGTGACATTCCGATCGAACAAAGAAAACTGGTTTAATTAGTTCCACATTATTATTTATTCTATTTAGATTTTTAAACCATGTATAGCCACAGATCAATTAAACTGCTATTACTAATAGTAATTATCAGTATCTTAAAACGTATATTGTAATAAGAAAACGAATACGTAATAAGGGAAAATATAATTGGCTTCAAAATGGTAAAATATTTCTATTAATAATAAAAGACCAATAAAAAACTACCTTTTTTCCCCCAATTATGCAGGTCCCTGGGATGCTATTTTCTGTTAGTGCAATAAAATTCAACATCCCACTTTTCACATGTGTATTAGGCATGCATTTACAGTGCAGACAAACATGTATGTTGATTTAATTGGAGGTGAAGTTATTCTGATAAATGTGGGATAAAAAACATCACGTTTCAACCACTTCCACCCATTTCAACGGAACACATTTAATGTTCCAGGACAGATGAAGGACCTTCAAAGCTCAGTGTTTTCAAAGTTGCTATGCTGTCGTTGTTCTATTGAAATTGAGGGAGAGCAGTTCAGAATGGATGTTAAGATTAAATCAATACATCAACGATGTACTTGTAACATGCGATGCTATAAATAGCGGGAGTAAACAAGATTTACTACGATTCAATGACAGCTACTGTTCATATAGAATGTGAAGGTATAGCTTCAGGACAAATATGATAGGATACACATAATACAGCCCGTTTTCTCTACCATACCTGTTCAACCAGCAGTTTATAATAACTCTGACCTTTATATACACAACCAACCAGCAGTGAATGTCAGCTTTTATTAAATAGCTTTACAAAATCACTGGAATGAAACTTAAACTTATTACAGTTTTCTTATAATTCACCAAAAAGAACACTTAATTGTAAAATGCTGGTCTATAGCAAATAAGTATTTTTTAAATGCAGTTAAACAACCAAAGACAAGGTCAGCATCTCCTGTTTGCTGTGCTGGGGGAAAATGTGCCTGATATCATATTCAGGTGATACTGAATATTCAGTAATTGCTAAATTAATTTCTCTTTTCCCATCCGATCCCGATTAGATCAGTCAGACTGCTTTCGAAATATTAGCTGGATTCTGCAAATGTATTTTGTGTTCTTTCAACCATAACTCATTACAAGGAACTTCCCCAGCATCAATAAGTCACTCCTGCCCTTTCTCGTGTGGCTCAATACCAGGCCGCACTGCTATTTAGTGATAAAATCTGATGTAATAAAATATTAATTACAGCTGAAAGGCTAGGTAAGAAATATGAACTCAATTACATTCCCATATTGTGACCAAAGGGCAGGGCAAAAATGTGGCAGTACAAGGAGCTTTCACATTATAAAAAAATAAGTGAGATAAGGATATTTACATCAGATTTAAAGCCTCCTTAAAGGCCACCCATAATTCTGAAGCTGCCAGAAGGTTGAAAGTTTAAGCCATATATCAGAAATGACTCACACCCTGTCTTTCGGGACAACTTTCCCCTTACAGATCTTTTCTCCTGAGAGTTATACTTTCCACAGAAATACTTCTGAAATAGATAATGATTTATAAAGTGATGTGCAACATACTGTACAGTACAGTGGCTACAGAAAGCCTACCAACCCTTTCAAACTGGTCATGTTGTTACCTTATAGCCTGGAACTAGAATTCTTAAAGTTTCTCCAATCATCTGTACATCTTACCCTAATTTTAGAAATTTAAGAGGTGTGACCTAGACCCAATCAAATATTTGTGGCATGACTTATAAATCACTGTCCTTGAGCACTTCCCAAAAGAACTTGACACAGCTTGAACAGTTTTACTAAGAACAGTTAATTTCGTTGATGAAAGTGGTCTCCAACAAACTGTTTTCCCTTTTTTGTCAACAAAAGGGGCAGGAACATAATCCACAGCAACCATCACAAAGACTGAATGGCTTCTTGTTTTTAAGTAAATTAAAATGAAACAAAATGACCTCCTGAACTGGTAAGACATTCATTTTCTACACTGCAGCGAGCCAACCAAATAAATGGAAAACTAGACATGAAAAATCCATACTTTATAGTTTGCATATTGAGGAATTACTTGGTTTTTTTCTTGGCTGGTGCTTAATGTATACAAATTAAAATATCATTGAAACTGAGAGTGTTGTGCATCAGCTTCTTAATGGCTCTCTGTCAGAGGGAAATATAAAGTGATCTCTACTGTTCACATCTTATTTTGAAAATAAGGTGTCTGGATGGTGATTAGCTAACAAAAAAAAATGATAGAGGTAACTTTCTTAAAAGTACTTTAATAATTCCTTTTTATTTTCTCAGACATATCTTTCAGAGCTAATTATTGATATTCCATCAATGATTTCAAAGCTTTAGGTGCTGCTTGTCCTATACGTGTTTTATTCTGTTCACTAGGTATCTCATGCAGTAATTGCCCTGTAATTATTGCAGGTGTTGGCAGGGGTCTCTGCTGGGTAAATGAATAATGACAGAGTTTTGGATACTTTTAAAAGCCTTATACACATGCACAGAATTACAGTATTATTACCCATGCCACAATTCGAGTTCTTATCAGGAAAGCCTGGTATAATATAG